GAGTTTTCCCCAGGAAGCTCCAAAGGACGCAGCTGAGACCTGGCCGGCAGGTGAGCTGCATGCTGAGGATCTGTGCTTAGAACAAGATTCTGTTTCATTACAACCTCCTCTTTACCAGGACTGAATGGGCTATTGAGGTTTCCTTGGGAGGGTCACTACCTCTTTAAGTTTCACCACCACCGGGGGTACATCCAGGTGTCCGATGTCTTCTGGGCCTGAGGCCCAAAGCTCCTGAGGGATCCTATTCAGAATTTCAGGGGAAATGGTGGGTTTTCCATGTGGTTGATGAAGTGAAAGCATCAGGGGCAGGGAGCAAAGGGCTGAAGAATCCTCAGGTGACAATGGTGAATGTAAAGTCACTCCTCCCTCTGGTGTGAAGACGATGGAGGCCTGGAGTCTGGATAGCACATCTGCACCAAGCAAGTTAAGGGGACAGGTAGAGGACACCACAAATCTGACCAACAAGTTAGGATATGTCCCTATTTGGAGTGGTTTGGTGAGAGGATTGGGGCGTGGTACCCCATCTACACCCACACAGGACACATCTATGTCTGAAAGAAAATAATAATCTGGCAGGTCTGTTGCTTTAAGTTCACTTCTGGCTGCACCCGTGTCAATAAGGAAGGTGGTGGGTGTCCCATGTACAGGTAGGATGATTTTCCCTCCCCTGAAGACGCTGCCATGAGAAGGGAGGGGAACACAGGTTTGCCCCGGTCCTAGTGGGAAGTGGGGCGAGCCATGGCATTATTCGCAGCCCCCTCCTCTTGTTGCTGGGGGTGGCGGGGGGCCCTGCATACCCTCCTGAAATGCCCTAGTCTCCCGCAGTTATAACAGGTAATCCTCTCTCTCCGGCTAGGTAGGGGAGGAGGCGGTGGGTGTCCACGGTAACAGGGCATCGGCTGCTTGTACATTCGAGACCAGGGATGAGGCCTGGGATGGGGTGAAGGTGACATACATCACTGGCGCCTCCGCTATGTTCATGGGGTGCCAGGACTGGAGGGATGACTCCCGCTTCAGCCGGGGCCTTAGGGGTGGCTGAATTTCGGGAGGTAGGGGCTCGGGGCCAGCATTGGTGAACGAGCTCCATTCTGCACTGGTCACATCATCATAAGCTATGTGCGGGGCCTCGGACGGAAGTAGGGCAGGTGGCAGCGTTGATGCATCTCCCATTAGTACATTAGGGAACACGGGAGTGTGGTAGGAGCCATTGGCATTCAGCACCGGGAGGACTGGGTACATGGGGTTAATATGCCTTCCGGATGCTGCCTGACCTGGGACACCAAAATGGCCGCCACCAGAAGGAGGCGGAAGTACACTGGGCTGGGCAGGAAGTGACATGAAAGTTATACCAAGATGGCCACCACCGGATGTAGTAGGGGCGGGACTTCCGGGGTGTTGGCTGGGTATACCAAGATGGACACCACTGGGGGGTGTCATAGGGGTGGGCGTGGTCAAGCCACCAGGGTCGGTAGTTGTCATAATGACCTGGGAGGGAGGAGCCACGGATGATGGGGCGTTAGACGAAGGGTGCGGTTTGGAATAGTTGTCTGTCCAGTCGCCGCCATTATAGGGCGGTGGCTCAAACACATCATCAGCTTCTGTGATGCACATACATAATTTAATCATCTCATTTAACTGTTTCTTCTACCCATCCTTCTTTGTGCAAAGCTTTTGTTGTACGAAACCAGGCTTCAGCTATTTTCATCAATCCCTTATCATTTAACTTCCCTCGATGTTCCCTTATCAAGGTACGCCAGGATTCTGGCTGGAGACGGACAATATCATGTTTCAAGTTACATTCTTTTGCTAACTTCTGTAATTTCTCTCTGCTTCAGCCCCCTCCCTCTCACTGCGTAGTGGACATTAACCCTTAGCACCAAGATGTCGGGAATCGCTGGGACAACAGGCTGATGGCCAAGTTTACGGGGGGGGGGGGATACCCCCCTTCTACTACTTTCACTAATCCCCAATTCGTTTCATCCACAGTGAACATTAACCCACAAACACATTTAGGACATGACATTACACCGTGGAACTGAGCCACTGGCTGACCGGCTAAGCTCGCCTCGGGGGGACCGACACGTCACCCCGGATTTCCGTCCGTAGACGCCCACTACAGGGTTCCTCTTACTTGGGGCGTAACAGCGCGGAACTGAACCACTGGCTGACCGGCTAAGCTCGCCTCGGGGGGACCGATACGTCACCCCGGATTTCCGTCCGTAGACGCCCACTACAGGGTTCCTTCTTTCTCTGGGCATACAGCTCACTGAGATGAGGACGACTCCCTGTAGCTAATTCATTTAGCTCGGCTCAGCCTTGGTCCAGAGTCGCAAACACCTCAAGCCAGGATCAGCATCCTGTAGCTAATTCATTTAGCTCGGCTCAGCCTCGGCCCAGAGCCGCAAAACACACAAACAAATAACACACACAGCCAGCAGAAATCTCTTATGCAGGTTCTTAGCAAAACAGCCCTGGGCAAGGAAAAGTTTACCTGCCTTTTGCCGTCCTCGAACAGCCAAGTGGACGTGACAGTGGATCAGACAGAAACAAGTAGTACAGTGGTAAGATATTGAAATATGCCTACCGTACTCTCAGGGTTGCGCAAGCCCTCCTTGGTCTGTCTGGCCCTCAGCCAACTGCCCGCATGTCACGGCTGCTCTTGGATCGGAACCCAGGGCCCCACGATTTTTGGCGCCAGCTGAAATGGATCTGAACCACAACTGGGTTCACACAAGATGTCTGCTGCTGTTCCTAATTATGTCGTTTTCGGTGCACCGGAGAGAAATCACAAACTCAGGATTAAGGTTTATGACGCATCTACTTTATTCAGGGCGTTCTCTCTCCTTTATACACAGATAACAGGAGAGTGCTCGTCACCCATATGCCCACCTCTGCTATCTCTAAATGTCTTGTACTATTGGGCAAACTAGAGGAACTGTTAGTTAGAGTTTTGTGTCTCTCGCTAATTGGTTAGTCAAAGATATCTTCTGCCTGTAGCTTCATCCCTCGGCATTCCTTTCATGTGTCCTCGGCGCGCTCCCGAATACAGGATATCTCTCTTGGTTATGCATAGCAACGCTAAAAGCTGAGTAAGGAAAGTCACAAAGCTAGGAAGCAAATGAAACAAATTCAAAACAATTTAAAACATAGAAAAGGACATTTTCTTGATATGATCCATATTCCTTCACAAAATCACACAAAAAAAGTGTCGGCACATGGTTGAGCTTGCAAGTTCTTGTATTAGTAATGTGTGTTTGTTTTTCTAGTGTGTACATATATTTCCTTACACTTCTAAAATGAAAAGTTTCATACAAAGAATGCTCTTGTCATATGCAAATAATAGAGAGCGGGTTTCTACACGTGTAGTTTGCATAATGAATGTAATGAATTCAAATCAAAGGAAAGTATCTTATTGTTTGTAAGTGTGACATATCATATTTCAGTTATAGGAGATGTTTTATACCTATGCATCGTTTAAAAATTTATAATTGGAATCTTTTTTTTATTACTATTTTATCAGGCATTTTTAGACTTTTTTTTATAGTAAGCAACTGATTTTATTGTATTCCTATTTAAACATTTTTTAGAAAGTGTGCAGAATCTTATTCAGAAACAGCAAACTGCTGCTGAACTTTAAGAAACGTAATTTGGAATGGAGTGGTTTATTTATATATGGTGTCGTCAGTTATAAAACTTCTGCAATATGGAGATGTTTACACGCAGATAACTTATACCTGTGTCAACACAATCCTATCTTCCTTCCTCTAACAAAATTAACATGCTCTCTTCAGTCAGTTATTGGAGCATTAAAATTGCTTCTTTTACTTTGCCTGCCAACCGGGAAGCTGCATTGTTTGTAATCTTTGTACTGTGTGCAGTGTATTGTGTGGTTTATGTTGGACTGTGTATGCTGTGTAGACATGTGCGAATTGTTTTGGAAAGATTTGTTATTCTGACAAATTTTTGGAAATTCGTACATGTGGATGCATCCGAATTTCCGAATGACAGAAATATTGAATGCAAAACAAATACGAATTTCCGATAACAAAAAATTTGGTTGCATCCGAATTTCTTTCCCGAATTAAGTTTTATTGCATTATGCATCAATTTGTAAAGAATAAAAAATATAAATTCTCATTAGCAGTAATAGGTACGAGTTTTCGTTACAAAAAAACTTTAATGGCAATCCCAAGTTGGGATTTTACAAAAGGTAAAAAAAAAAATGTTTTACAGTTCACAGAAGGAAAAAGAAAATAGCGTGAGGTTCCACCGAATTGATTTCAGACCCTTTGGGTCTGGTTGGAATGTTAGGAGGGACCCCCAAGTAAAAAAAAATTGAAAAAAGTGCATGGGATTCCCCCCAAAAGTCTTACCAGGCCCTTCAGGCCTGGTAGGAAGTTTAAGGGGGAACCCAACCCCCTAAAATAGGTGAAAAAACCATAGGGTTCCCCCTAAAGTTCCCCCCTCCCTGCGTCATACCAGGCCACATGCCCTCAGCATTGGGATGGGACAAGGGCCTCATCCCCACAACCCTGGCCCGGTGGTTGTGGGGGCCTGCGGGTAGGGGGGCTTATTTGCATCGGGGTACCCCTGTAATTAAGGGGGCACCTAGATACCGCCCCCTTTTTGAATGAGTAAGGGGTACTTGTACCCTACTCATTCAGTAAAGGGTTACAAGTAAAGGTAAAATAACACACCACACATTTTGAAAACGCCCTTTATTTAAAAAAAAATTAAAAATGGATCCATCAATGTAATCCAGCGTCAACAACAATGAACGACGCTCGCCGATTCGCTGAAATAAAAAAGTCCTGCCGCACGAGGACCCGTCCCAATCCCGAAGACTCGCCGCAAAATGACAGCTCCGACCTGAATGTAAACAAGTTGGTGGAGCGAGCCGTGACATCACAGGGCTTGTTCCTCCCATTTGACATTCTGACCTGTCATTCATATAACAAAAGCAAAGTCTTTCCAAACAGCATTTTTTTACTTTTGTCTAATGTCGCTTTGCTGCAACGAAAATTAGTAGGTAACTAAATTTTGGATTTCGTCCGAATCCAAATCCCAAAACAAATTGACTTTCGGCTCCGAATGCCGAAAAAAGAAATAATGAAAAATCTGAATAAAAATTAAACTAAACAAATTTTTTGCCACAACACATGTCTAATGCTGTGTTCAGTGTGCTATCTGTGCAGAGTTGTATGTTCCGTGATGTATTTGCTACAGGCTGTGTATGATGTGCTGTGTCAGCTAGGAGCTTCATACTTTCTTTGTTGTGTATGTTGTGTGCTTGCTGTGTTGTGTATGTTGTTTTATGCTCTGTGCTGTGTATAATCTCTTTTTTGTGTGTCTGCAGTGTACCTTCTATGCTATTTGGTATTTGTTAGGTGTTCTGTTTATGCTGTGTGCATTTTATTATGTGTTCTTGTTGATCTGTGTGCTTTGTATATACTATGTTGTGTATATATGTTGTTTGTGGTTTGTATATACCATGTTCTGTGTATACTGTATGTTGTTTGTTCTTTGTATATACAATGTTCTGTGTATATGTTGTTTGTGATTTGTATATACCATGTTCTGTGTATACGTTGTGTGGGCTTTGTATATACTATGTTCTGTGTATATGTTGTGTGTGATTTGTATATACCATGTTCTGTGTATACGTTGTGTGTGCTTTGTATATACCATGTTCTGTGTATATGTTCTGTGTGCTTTATATATATATATATATATATATATATATACACACACACCATGTTTTGTGTATATTTTGTGTGTGTGTGTTGATTTTCTGATATGGACAAAACACTATCACCGGGCTCAACGAAACCACACTCCTCCCCCGTTTCATTTAAAAATAGTCAAATCTCCTGTGATCTCCAGTATTTTTGAGGCTTGAAAAAGAGGGATTCCTCAAAACGCGTAGCCACTGGAGACACCCGACCACCTGAGACCTCTACCACCTACACCGCCACCGATACTGACACACGACGCACGGCGTGCCCTAACCGCGTGTAGCTCCTCCCCATTCTTTCCGGTTTTGACCGACGCGGCTCGGCCCGGCCAGCCGAGTTCGTGGGCGGCCATACGGATGCGCACCCCCAACTGACCAGCCCGTTGAACCACCGGGGACACTCTTGCGACCCTGGACCTATCAAAGGAGGGCGCCACACCGACCACGGGGGAGCCTCGAACCGTAAGTCCCTTTGTCCACTACTAACAGTGTTTCATATATATGCATTTTTCACACACAAAGATCCATTAACAATCTGTATTTTACAAACCTATCTACGTCCTTTTTGGTAGTTGCGCTCCTGTCCTGTTTTGTTCATATCTGCAATTTTGAATAGACAGGGTCCTCTCCCTGTATTGAGGAGCTTCTGCACACCCGTACACAATAGCCACCTAATTGTATTGTGCCCACAGGAGTGCGCTTTATCCTTTTTTGTATTTTCCTGTGTTGATTTTCTGTTAACCATGTGTGCTCTGTGCTGTGTGCAATGTCTGCTGCGCATGTTTTTTTCTGTGTGTGTGCGTTGTTTATTCTATGTTGTGTGCTCTATGCTATATGTTGAGTGTTCTGTGTACTGTATGCTGTGAGCAATTTATTCTGTGTTCTTGTTGCTGTGTATACTTTGTATATACCATGTTCTGTGTATATGTTATGTGTGCTTTGTATATACCATGTTCTATGTCTATGTTCTGTGTGCTTTGTATATATCATGTTCTGTGTATATGTTGTGTGGGCTTCGTATATACCATGTTCTCTGTATGTGTTGTGTGTGCTTTGTATATACCATGTTCTATGTATATGTTTTGTGTGCTTTGTATATACCATATTCTATGCATATGTTGTGTGTGCTTTATATATATATACCAGGTTCTGCGTATATGTTGTGTGTGCATTGTTTATACCATGTTCTGTGTATATGTTGTGTTTCCTTCATATATACCATACCATACCTGTGGATACTGTGTGTGCACTGTGTTGTATTAGTTTAGAGTCATTTCAATGCAGGAAAATAAAATGACATAGGGGCTGATTTATAAATCTTCCCCCATAAAGCTGGATGGATGCTGTTTGCACGGCACTACCGCCACTAGATGGAGCCGAGGAGTGTAAGAATTCCTCTGCTTCTCGTCTCTATCCAGTTACAGTAGTGCCATGTGAACGGAATCCAACCAGCATTGAGATCTATAAATCAGCCCATAATGTTATTCTGAAACAATAGTATAAAATGAGGGATACAATCCTACTATCCATCAGCAAGTAATTATGATTTTGCTGCTGAATCTCAATTTTTTTAATCAGCTCTTTGTCTGATGGTGGTGGTGGTGGTGGTGGTGGTGGTGATTGACCGAATATCCAACTTTTCAAGGTTTAGATTTAATTGTGCTTACTTACCAAATCAATAACAAAATACAACTAGGAAGTAGAAAGTGTACTAACTGGCAACATTCACTCCAGATTCACCTTTCATTGTTGCTGCGGTTAACTGACATTTCTAATCGTTCTCATGGTTTGCTTGACTAAGTCTATAATATTCGGGTCAATCATTTAATATTCTTCATCTCCATGAAAGCAATCCATTGATTTGTCATGTAATGACATGAAGAAAGACTTTTATCAACTGATGTAGAATGTTCTTGTCTTTACTCCACCTTTGTGAATTTCAGCCAAGCAGGCAACATGTCATAACCTGCAAGCAGTCATAAATACATTGATGTATTTATGGCAGAACTATTGAGGTGTGAAAAGTAGATTTACGTCTGTAAAGGTTCATCTTCCTCTCTGGAAATTTAAAGGTGAACTCCAGACAAATGAAAAAACACAAATATTAGAAACATGCATTGATTAAAATGTATTCATGCATTAAATTATTTATTAATTTTAGGTCTTTTGAAATACAGTCAGTATAAGTACCTAATGTCAGTTGGGCCCCTTTCTTTTATTTATTTTTAATTCTTTATTGACCGAGGCAGTTCCATAGGATACAATAACAGTAAGACAGTAGCAGTCATATGCAGTCTCAATCCAAAATTATTGCTTCCTTCCATAAGTCTGCAAAGTTCTATATCTCTTTATAGGGAAGCACCTTGGCTAATTATAATCCCTGTGAGTAGCTGTGTATCGTGATCAAAGGAAAAGGCAGTAGGAAAAAAGGTCAAGAAAAGGAGGGAGAGGGCAGGTCCGGGCAGAGCCCGACGTTCTCATCATGGGTCTTAACTTTCCTGGAGGGCAGATACGTATGTAAAGAACCAGAGGCATTTATGCATCTAGAAGACTGTCAAGGCTGACTGAGGGAAGTTATCCCAGTTGTGCCATCCTGAGAGAGCGGGTGAGGGCACTGCGAAGCGGTCCTGTAGCTCAACCATGGCATTAAATTGACCTTCTGTATTTTTCAAGGAGGCTGTTAGATAGTTGGACCCCTTTCACGTAGCGTTCTAATCAGGTAACCTGGTCAGTTTTTCAGGCAGACCTAATTGGGAGCTTAATCTTAGTCTATGGGGAGTTGGATGCAAATGGACTTGCGACCGTTTACATCTGATTACCTCCGAGTCCATCTAGGTCCACAAAAAAAAAGGCGGACCTGACGGGATGGATCAGGGGTAATCGGATTTAAATGGACACATGACCCTTTACATGTGACTCCTCATAGACCCAACATGGGTCCATAAAGCTCAGATCTGAGAGGATCTACCCTCTTGGAGAAGATCTACCCTATTGTGTCCAGATCTACACCCTTTCCAACACAAAATATAGAAACACATTTTGGGTAAAGTTGCAATTTAACTTTTTGCTTGTGTAGAAGGGTGTGGCAATGCCACAATGTAATTTGGCAACATTATCTCCAAGAACACTTAGTTAGAGGGGCTAAGAGGTTCCACAATGTGAATATCTTTGTAGAAGAGGAACTGGCTGTTCAGTTCCTTCCAGGTTTTCTAGACTATAGTGGGAAGGGATTTCCAGTCCTGGGGCCAAGTGTTACCAATGACCAGCTTGGGCTGAGAGTAGCCAGCCCAGTGCTCAGGGAGAGTTGTGGGTGTGCAGGAGGCACACGACCACTGGCAGACTCTGCTGCATGCGCGAGCACAAGTGACACCGCCAGGAAGGCTGGAGAGGTCAAGAGGGTTGGGGACCCTGAGATACCTGCTAGAGAGACGGAGAGAGACAGTGACCCATGAGGGGTGAATACTGAACCACTTGGAGCTGAGGAAGGCTGCTGAGCAGTGCTGAGGACTGTATTTACAGAGAAATACGGTAAAGTCCTGGGACTATCACACTGGGAGTGTATGGGACAGCCAGATGTCGATAAGACCAAAACACGATGTCTTGATGAGAGTCCAATGAACTGTTATGCTTAATTTATGCTGAAGAAAGGCGAGTTGTTTTGTGAAGTTCATGCATTGTTGACCTTGTGAGTGAATAAAGACTGTACTTTTTGTATTAAAGTCAGCTTCAGGAGCGGTCTCTTAGCACGCACCATTGAGTTATATTCCCCAAACTATCATACTTGGAACAGGAGAATAGTCTCATGCGATATATTTCTACACTGCACACTACGCAACATTTTCCCCAACAAGTTATCTGTTTTTTTCCTTTCTTTTTTTGACCAATGATCTATTTCTGCACTCATCTCCACCAAGATAATAATAAGCCACCCATGAGTAAACATTTAGGAAATCTTCTACTTTAATTCTATATTTGTTGTGTTATCTTTTTTATTTTAGTATAATTATGTAAGGATTATGTCATCAGTCACTAACTATGTCTATTATCTATGTCTCTCCCTTTAAAATGTTGAGTTGTTTCTTGCTGTTGTTTATTTGTTTGTTGTTTTGTTGATGTCCTTAATGCTTAAGGTCAATACTTAATGTTCTCAGGCCAAGAACATGTTGCCTTTTATACCTGTCACTGTGCCTATAATCCTCATTATTTAAAGTATTATTTAAAGTAGTATTAAACTCTCAAACTTTTTTTCAATAGTGTATCCAGATCAACAGATATACATTTGAAAACAAAGTAATTCTATAATTTTTTCCCTCAAGAAATTACTGTCATAACGTTTCTGAACAGCTGGCTCCTACTCTCTCAGCTTTGCTTCTCTGAATTTCCTGTCCAGTGCAAGATCAGAAGGGACAGAGCAGCCTCTAGCAACTATTCCTCTACTAGCAAGGAGAAGGGAGAAGGAAGGAAGGAGAAGGAAGGAAGGGGGAGGGAGCAGGGGAACAGTTTGCTCTGCTGTGCCTGTGTGTTTTTGGAGACACACAGCTTACTAGCACACACAGGATATCAGGGCCAGTGCTCAGAGGACCAGCTAGTTTTACAGGAAACTAAAATGTTTAATCATCCAAAAGCAGTACCCATTGTAAGTGATCTAATCAGCATTTGAAATAGTTTAGGGAAACATAAATCTAGAGCTACTGGTAAAAATAAGGTACAATAAGTCCTTAAACTTAGGCCTTGATTTTCTAATGGTGTATATTTGACACTGATGAGGTTAAATAAAATCCCTAACACCTTGATACAGAAGCATTGCAAAGGCCAGGAGGAATCGGCAGAAACCAGCTCTGGTGATGATAATGATGATGAACAAAATCATTGGCAAGCATAGCAGGATGGGTGATCGGTGTTCTGGATATACATATCTTTTGCATGTTTGAATGTGTACCTGCAAACCTTAAGGGAATATATCAGAGTAAAAGGATGGGAGCACCATATCTGACATCTAACATGTGCTTGCTGCTAACGTGTGAAAATCATTGATAATCTTGAAAAAAAACCTTTCTACTAGAAGTCTGAGATAAATAAGGCCTACTAGATGAGGAATTTACAGAGATTCTTGTGGGACTTCCAGAGAACCAGGGAACTTCAAACTCCTTTGGCAAAGATGTTAAGCAGAAATGTATTGCATCAATCATTGAAGAGTAAGGCTATTTTGAAAGGTGTGTGCTGATCTAAGCAAGTACCTTACAAGCACTTTATGCAAAATCTTGTATGGTTGTTTTTGATGTCTGTTTACTTATGCATATCTTTTTACAATAAACCCAAGGATGAGTAAGAGAACTACCTGGTTTCACATTGACATTTGTTTGCTTGTGTTTGGACAAATATGTTTGGACAAAGTCAGAAAGCTGCATTTTCTCGAGCCTTAGGGTACATAGCGACAGCTCCCTTACTTCCTTTGTGCAGTGATCTATTGATAAAGATATTCATATGTTCTGCATATGACAAATCTTGAGTACAGAATTCAGATATCTGAGCCTTCATTGTATCAAAATAATCTGTGAAGCTGAAAGTAAAGTGAGCAGTGGCTGAGTGAACTTGATGAGTTGACAGTAGGTGCAATTTGAAGAGGATGCATAAGTGTAGTCACATTGGAAGAAGGAAAAATCTCATCCTTGTTGTAGGCACTAGAAAAGAGTCAAAAAGCATTGGACTCCTGGATGAAGATGTGTAAGGCCTCCTGGATTGAGCTGTGAAATCCATGGGTAAAGGCACGTTTGCATTTGCAAAGAGTAGAATTGAGCCTCAGACTCTCTCATCTGAGAGAACCCATTGCATGTTACAGGACATAGATTGGGCATACAACCTAAGTGTGTAGCCCTGGAAAAGCAGTTTTATGAGAGTTGTCTAGGTTCTGAAGACATACAGTATGTGAGATGTTCCCCCCTTCACTTTATGTATGGCCTTCTGGACTCGTCATGAAAGGTCTTCCACAGCCAACCTGGTCTTACGTGTTTTAAAGGCAATGCATGACATTGATCCACGACTTTGCCATTTATGATTTTCCCCAGGCTTTACCACATTTCATATAACCTCTGTAAAGTATACATTTCTATTTCCTTTGTCAGAGTGCTATAAAGGCTTATGTAAATTGGAAAATTCAGATTAGGGAAAATAGTACATGAAGGAACAAGGAGCCTTTAGCAACAAAGTGGAGGACAACCAATCATCCGCCTTAAGTCAAAATAGAAGTGGAACGACAAGTAACCAAAAAGAAAAATAAATTAGACCAACATTGAGGGTGTTACTTACTGTTGTTCTAAGTTATTATAAAGAAAGTTTCCAAAGTAAAGTACTATGTCTGGCATACCAAACTCTAGACTTTAGGGAAAGAAAGCTAGGACAGACATGGTATGTTCATGACAACCAGTTAACAGCTGGAGGCTTTGGCAAGGCACCCTTAACCTTTGAATTCAGGGTGAGTGAGGTTCACAACATAAGATATATTCTCATATAGAAAATCAATCTCTAAAAGAGATGGGTATGGATAGGAGAGCTCTCTGAGCAATACATTAAAATGGAGCGGAAGGCTGAGAAGGAATTCTCCCACTTGATACCTTAAATTGTGTCAGGGATGTGTAAGCTATATAAACACCTGCTGGAACCAATACAGAGATTGGATGATCCTTGAGGTACTGGAGAATCAGAAGTATGACAGGACTTTGTTTAGGCTAAAAAGGCTGGGAGAAGCAATGCAGAGTGTGCATCCGCATGGTCCAGTTCAGTCAGTTTTTAGCCTGGCTGGGTACGGTCAGTGTTTGGTTGATAATTTTCCACCTGAATCCTTTGACAAATGTAAATTGAAAAGCCAAAATTTGTTAAGTCGGTGACTTCAAACAACAAGGAGTGTATGGCCATCATAAGATATGTTCATTTTTGTAACATTCAATTGAAACTTAGTAAATTGCGCAATCATATTATAATGTGTGTGGGAAGCATAACACTCATATGAAGTTAAATATATTAATAGCTTGAATCATAAGATAAGTGTGTGTGTGTGTGTGATGTCTTTGGTAAATCTAAAGAAGGCTGAATTGTAATCATGCTATCAGATTGTAAAGTTTGTGGCCAGGATAATGATGTTAGATGTTAGCTATTTTGGGTTTTCAGTTGCAAAAATAGTTTGGAAATAAGTGATATACCGGTAGCTCTAGAATGGAATGATGTAGTGCAGTGCTTCCTAAACTATGGGTCGTGGTCGTGTTTGGGATGTGTCATCACTTAACTTTGTGTCCAAGTGCAAATTCAGCAGATCAATGGTGTGTGATACCACACCAACTATGAAAGACAAGACAGACACATATACAGAACTATATACTAATAATTTCCATCTTTACTGTCTTTATGGTGAGAGAAGGAACCTACAATGGGTTCTATGTAAGGAGATCTTAGTCATAAAAAAACCTTACATTTATTAAGCTTAAAAAGCATATTTAAACAATATACTCACAACATGAAAACAAAGCCAAGAAATTCTTCAATGGCAAGGCAAAAAGCCTAATTAAATGGTGTATTAACCATGGAAGGGTACGCCATTAGAGGCAGAATAAGCTTGTAAGACAGTAGCTGTGGATAGCTAGCTAGCATCAAATCACAAGTTTAGGCAATGTTCTGCAGTGGTTCTCATGTGCAGTGTTTCCTTTGTCAGAGTGCTATAAAGGCTCCGTATTATGAGTACAGAGCTGCATTAATTACTGTTTCTGTGTTTGTTATTTTTACTATAATGGCCAATAATATTACTGACTTGTACGGCATTTCTAACATTTTCTAAAAATTCTGTTCTTGGGTCCCAGTATGGTAACAATTTTCTTATTTGGATCCTCTGATAAAATGTAAAAACTCCAGGTGAAATGAAAAGGTTCTAGAGGTTAACTATGACTAAAATCAGAGAATTAGTTATTCAGGGCCTTAGGGTCTGTGTACATAGGATTTTGCATACCGCAGAATTGCTTTTCTCTCCATACAATTCAATAAGAATCTTAAAGCAGATTGAACTAGGTTGATGCAGTTTAAAAAAAGGTCAAATGCAGGTTAGATTGAGGCCAGATGCACCTGTGAAGGATTTCAGAAACATCTCAAACATATCTCAAATGCAAGTTGAGGGCATCAAAAAGCATGCTTCATCTTCCCAGCTACACAGGCCATGGGGTGATAGACTATGTGTAAGAAATAAAGGCTGGTTCTAACATTATCTCAGTATTATTACCGTATTCCATGGCCGGTATTAACAATGCTGCACTATATATACATGCTGTGGCTACAATTTCCACTAGATGGTGCTAATATCAAATGATCTTAAAAAGGGGGAATATACAGTATACAGTTCACACCACTAATTTTGTATATGGAAGAGCATGGTATAGTTGAAATTAATTTGTCCTTCCTAAAACATATTTAGGTACAGGTATCTAATGTTGCCTACAAGTGACATTGTTATTTGTCAAGCAATCTCAGTGTCTCTATAGAACACCAGTGGATGACAGGTCCAAGCTGCAGATGGCACTGTCCTAGGCAATAGCGGATCTCCACCTCTAGATACCCAAGTGCCCTAAGGATGCACTGAGAAGAACACTGCCAATACCCCAAGGAAGCAATTCATGGAGTAAAGCTGGAAGCTCTGCTGACTTGCAGTGCTGTTGTCTGTGCAGAAGCCCTCGTGATGGTGTTCTGGGAAGGAATCTGCAGTGCAAAACCCTAGACAGTAGTGTGGTTCTCAGGTACCATGTACCTAGGTGTCTCCTAAAGTTGCCATGAATAGTAATGTAAGGGTATGAGTTACAATGTTATTGTTCAGCATGCTAGTCTGTTAGAGAGGAGCATGACTCCAGTGCCAAAGTTTGTTCCCAGCACAGTCCCCATGCTTCCTGGCAGGGATCAGGGACACATTTCTCCAATCTATTTCCCCCAAAAAATCCTGCAGTTTAGAGGTGATAGATTGTTTGTCCTGTTGGAGGTGTATAGGGAAGTGTGCTATCATCTTTGCTGTACCTCCGTTAGCTCCATAGTCTGTAAGGTTGTGCTAACTAGACAACAAACTAGGTCTGCTTTACTAACTGGAGAGTTCAAAGAGCTCTCCCTAGAGGAACTAGCAGATAATGAGGTTTATTCAACAAGATTAAACATGCCTACATGCTGAATAGTTTGTTCTAAGCCTGGAGGATTTTGGATTCAGTTAGGCATGTTTTGTGTTGTCCATCAATTGTACTGTAACCATTCTCACAACCATAGAGACATTTTCCCTTTCAAAGCATTTCCAAACCTCTGTACTCTAGTGTATATGAAGTAGTTATTTTAGGTTAGGATTTGACTCTATTTGTTGAAATGGACCTATATTAAAACATTCAAACGATCAGCCTGTTCATGGTTGCACGAAATGTTCAAAGAGTTTTACCCCATGTGTGGCGCTTGTCAGAGGTGGGGTGAGTGGTGGTACTTGGTGGGTACCCCGTTTGTGACTAGAGCGTGAGGACATTTTTTTATGTGGAGAGTTTGAAGGAGGGGGGTGGGTTAGGGGTTTAATTTTGTAGAAACGTCTTTATTGTTCTGCGGGTGTGCAGCTTACGTGGTGTTCGGACCGTGGTGTCCAACAGGTGTACTAAAAGGAAACAAAAATTGGAGAACGGAAGCGCCACTAACTGGCGCAATAAATGTGGTGAAGCCGGGTGAGAGGGATAGGTGATGTACTCACCTATGGTAGGTTGATCATTCGATTTTACGAAGGCCGTGAGATGGAGTGGAGCAGTGGCGGGAGACGGTCCCTCTTAGGATGGGTGGTGTAGTGGTGTTACCAGGTGGAGCAGATGTAAACACAAAAATAGCGAGGTGAGATGAGGTTGGTGAGCAAAAAAAGGGAGAGATTCTGTAACTCACCGCAAAGAAAGTGAAGGCTGGCTCTCAACGACGAAGGTAGGCTCCTGTAGAGCCTGGGTAGAAGGCTGTAGGATGATCCTCTGAGTGAGTGCTGGCGTGGCTGTCCTGCTGGACGTCTGCAGTGTCCGGCGCTGGGGAGAGACACGGTGCTGGAGGGTGGGTAGTGCAGCTGCCGAGGTGTTACCATGTCCCCTTGTGTTGTGACATGCCTGCTGGAAGGGGGATGAGTGTGGATCCGAAGAGGAGGCGGAGGTGGATGCACGCTGGGGCCTCCTAACGGTCCGGCGTGTCTGTGTCTTCAAGCTGTCAGCTTCCGATGCCAGTGCTGAGGTGTGAGCTGGTAGTCCACCAGCTCTAACACATCGGCTTGAAAAAGAAGGTATTACCTTTGAAACGCGTCGCCAGCCAGAACCCACTGAGTGTTTCAAACACTCCATCTCTTCACCGAGCCAACATCTCCTGACTTTTGGGCTCCGCCCCCTCCGTCTCTCCACACCTTGCTAAAATGTTACAGTTTTTACAAGAACTAGAGGTGAATACTTGGAACTCACCAGCGACAGGTTACTTAACATATGCAGTTAAAACTATCACTTTCATGTGTCACTCCCTCACTGGCTTGCTTTAGAGTGTAAGCCAGTGGTGCTTGTTTCACCTTTCTCTGGTGTCCTCCATAGCAAGTTTGAAATCTTCCAGTGGGGGTTACTTGTTGTTGAGAAAACTGTGTAAGAGGGCCAATCAACACTGTAGAGATTTCCTTTCCATTTCCCAAGATATGAAGTCAATGGAAATTTTCAGAATGGCAAACAAACAGGCAGGGGTTTTAATCCTTCCCTATTATATCCAACATTTAAGAAAAATGTTTCTGCTACACATACACTTTAGCATCAACGTGCAATTAAATGTCCGGTTATAAAACACTATTAAAATTAATTTGCAGCCGCCCATATTGTGGGGCTAAGCCTGACCACTCACCTCGACTTTAGTGTTGGTTTTACATTAATTCACCTAAAAAAATGCCTTAAGGGCGGGGACAAACGTTGGTACTGGACCTGATATTACAATGTGTTACCATGCTTAGATTATGAGTCTCACTGTCTGTTGTTCTAATATTCTGCGGGGCCATGTGGCCTTTGAGTGTACTTCTTTGCAATGTACCCCACCCTTTTTGCCTACAAATAAAGAATTAAAAAAAAATATATATATATATTAATTTGCAAATGGTCTAACATATTTCTTTCAGCCCTACTCCAATGGACCATATCCAGCTTATCTTCACTCAGGCAACCATGGGACCGTCTATCAGCCATATACCATTCAGCCGAGTCCTCCTCCGCCTTCCTACATTATGGAGAGACGACGTGAGTATCAGGATAGCTGTTCAAATAACATAGCATATTCTAGTCTATTTCTGCTACCTGTTGAAATGTGGAGCATGCTTAAACCAATGCAGAAACAAACTAACAATGATGATATAGTTAAAAATTGCTTGATATAGTGCCTTTTGCCCATAGTTCACATCCCAAACAAGCTTACCCTAAAAAAAAAATGATTATCATTGATTTACCACTAACAATGAACAAATCATGTAAAAGCAACTTTACTGATGCTTCATATAAACCTTGGTCTTGCATCACCATATGTTTTATCTAAATAAGTGTTCCTACTAATTTTCATGTATTAAAATCATTGTTTCTACTTATTTTAATGTATTTAATTATTGTTCCTGCTCATTTTAGGCACAATAGGAAGTAGCAGGACAGGACAGGGCGGGGGGGTCTTGAAGCTAAAGGTGGCCATCTAGTATCACATAGCCATTAGTAATAGTGGAAAAGTGTAAACCCCTATCCTCGTTCCTTCTCTTTCACTAACATGTTGTAGACATTCAGCATCTGGGCTTTTTCATGTCATTTACCAATGCTACCTTCTTCATTTCAGCTGGATATAAGTTCCCGTTTTCGTTATTTTCAAGTCGTGCTTCTACCATCTTTGTCTTCCTTGTGCTGATTGTTGTCGTTATTGGACTTGGTCTAATAACAGCATGTAAGTCCTCTGTTCATTTGTTTGCCTGGAGTACAACAAGCTGTTCATCTGATAAGCAGCACAAATGTTTACACATTGCTAAAAATGGAACCTGAATCTCAAAGACTTTATAATGTGCATCTTTAGGTTGTTGATGTTTATAGTGAAACGAAATACCATGTCAACTAATCAGCTATCATAGTTTATTGTTCTGACTCAAAGTAGAAACACAACCAAAAGTGCAGTTACAATTATAATGTAGTCCCCCCACTCTCAGTGGCCCCTCTTTGATTGTATGCTCCCTTATCCAAGGTACCATCCAAAAAGTTGCAGACCCATTTATCAAAATCTTCTGAGCTGGGCTCATGCAGTCCTATGGAGACAAAATGCTCTGTGATTTCGAGGGCAATATAAAGCTGGCCATACACTGCCATTTTTTCTCATTCAGTCCTGAGAAAACATGCTCGGTTCCCACATCCATGCTAAACAGCATGAATGTGGGAATCTCTCCTGCTGGCCAACATATTTCCACCCTGCTCCTTTGACAAAGGTCAATGGAATAATCAATCGACTTTTGTCAAACCAATTGGTGCAAACAGGGCTACCCACAGCTTGAGTTTATAGGCCAGCATAGCCAGCTTCAGACCGGTGTGTGTGTGTGTGCTGCAGGAGTAGGCAGGGCAGCCTACAATATAAGTGTAACTTCACCAAAGGTGCAGGAAATTTGAGGTGCCTGCATATATCATTCTCATTGGACAAAGCTTGGACACTTACTAGTGTTGAAACTCCATACATCCCTGTTGACCCAATATCATGGGCTATAACAGCGGCAATAGAAAATACATAGATGGGAGCAATAAGATGCAAAGCAATAGTGCATTCTTCTGCCAATAAAGTTTGCAGGTGAACATTTTCCTATGCAGAGTGGCCTGTCTGCACACACCATTGCCCATTCAACTGCCAGAAGGTGCATGAAATAAAGTGTGAAAAGGGAGAAGAGTGTTCCTGGACACTGGCCTTCAATTGATGAAGCTGGGCATGGTAAACACAGGTATGCTGGGGGAATATTCACCAGCAATAAATAAATGTCTCTAAACCTACAGATAACATGAGCTTTGCCAAGTCTGCCTGCAGTATTTCCTGGTAAGATGCACAATGCAGAACTCTTTACCTTGGTCTTCATGTCCACTCCTACAGTATTGAAGAGCCCTATGTGGCAAATGGGTGCCAGCTGAGAACACTGCTTTGCAGTTCATGGCTGGAGGATATATTTATATAGTTACATTTTTTTTTGTGATGTTTGCAGATTATTCTTTATTTCATTACAACCTGTTCTGATACAAACATGTGCTAATGTAGATTTTCTCTTTTCCTGCCAGATAAATTAAATGCATTTGGAGGATCCTCTTCTGACAACTACATGATAAGAGAAAAATGTTTTCCCAACAAGACCCTGTGCAATGGGATATCTGAGTGTGCCATGGGTGGAGATGAGGCTGGATGTGGTAATATGTCTACTATTATGTTTGTCAGGGATGATAAGGAGTGAGACGGGTTTATTCATATATCATAGAATGAACGGTTATGGAGATTTCCCAGCTTAATGCAGTACTACAAAGTAAAGGTTCACCCGTAATAAAGTGTAAATGTGTAGAAGTTTATAAAATATCGGTTTCTACTAGCCTGACATAGTAATATATCTTTTATATCCCCAACAGTGCGTTTTCGGTGGGACAATTCACTGCTACAAGTCATGTCACGTACACAGGAAAACGTGTGGCTGCCAGTATGTTCTACAGGAACCAACAATGAATTTCCCTCACATGTCTGCCAACGGTTTGGATTCCAACAGTAAGTCTTCTGTGTTAATGTCTTGTGTTCCAAATAAACATTCATTCTTAAATAAAATGAAACCAAATATTAGGAGAAGTATCTCAAGCATGTCCCCACACAATTAAAAATGTGTTTTGGGTGCGATCTCTGTCCCCATTACAATCACTTCCTGTCAGTCAGACCCTTCTTACTGGAATAGACTACAGGCAATGACTACAGCGTTAAAACCCCTACCCTTAAAGCTGAACTCCAGGAAATATTGTCAAAATACAAGAAGCATATGTATCTTGTGTACTTTGTGCATTTCATCTAGAGCTGTGCAGTAATTTAGTGTGATACTTTGCTTCTGTGCAGGATCTTCCTATAATAAAGACCGGTCACTGTTGCTCTCTCTCCTTGACTGGTCTTGTATCCACCCCTCCAGTATTTTTCTGCGGGCAGCCTGTAGTGTGGGGACCTGCTGAGTCCATCCCACAGCTCTGCTCTCTGCACAAGTTATGTGCAGGACAGTGCTGATGTCACCACTACTTTTATAAGGCAGTATCGTGGGTTGTAAAGTCATTTGATGTCATGATCAAAGTGAATTCAAATCCTTTGTGGCTATTGTGGAGTATATTTAATGGAAAATATTGTGGAGTTTAGCTTTAAGTAAAGCACTGTTTGTAAAATTCTTTGTCTGACATAGCCCTGGTGGAAGTAAACTGGAAGTAAGCACTAAAAATGATATTACATTGGCATGGGGTCATAACAACTAGTCTTTCTTTTAAAATAACTAAAAAAGAAACAGTGAATGTATCATTAACATATATACCCTTTAATGCCCTGCAGACATTGCTTCTGCATACATCATTTTTTATTCTATCTCCATCCTCAGAACTCCAAAGACTGAGTTGGTGACCATGAGTGACAATTCAGCAAACATTGGCCTTTTTAACGCCAGGACATCTGACACCATCCAAGGAAATTTAGACAGGTATGAGGTTTCTATCATTTGTTTCTGCTATCACTGTAGTTGTATTCTGTATTTTGTCTCCTACACATATATATGAAGAATACTTTTTTCGTAGTGTAATAAAATTCTAATTATGATTTCCCTGATTTGTAATTCACAGTGGCCATACCCTGCGCTAACCAGCATAACAAGTTAATTTGATTCAATTTAATGATTGCTTTTGAGCCAGAAGGTGATTTCAGATGAGGTTTTGGACAGTATATTCTTTAATAGGTCCACACAACCATAGATCACCTCTTCATAAATCAGGTGTTTCTGCAGCAATATAGATTTCAGCACTCAGCAAATAGCAAATAGAAAAGGAACCAGCGCCACTCCAGATGTTGTGAGAGTTAAAGCAGCTTCATTTCTTTATTTATATAATGCATGAATACCAATGTTTTAAAGCCCAACTGAACTTTCATTTTAAGGCTTTATTAACACTATAGTGTGCATAGTGTGGGATTCCTGTGGCAGAAACCTATGGGATCCTGCGGCAAGAACCCCAAATATTCAATTTAGAAGCAATCTCTGTCACCCGTTCAAGTTAATAGCTGAGCAACTACGGCTGCATCTGTAAGCGCCTCTCCACATGTAATCGTGATACGATTGCATGTAATTTGGAACAGATTCCTGCCCCTGGATGCACGGCGGTGATCTATTCCAAGCTGCATGTAATCATATCAAATATTATTACATGCAGATTGCTGCTTACAGATGCAGCCGCTGTCACTCGGTCATTAACCATTTGATGACCAGGTGTTTGCACCCCCTTCCTGGCAAGGCTGTTTTTCAATATTTAGCGCTACAGTAATTTGACATTTCTTCCGTCATGCAACGCTGTACTGAATTTATCTTTATACCATTTTTTGGGGACAGATGGAGCTTTCTTTTTGTGGTATTTAATCGCCACTACGGGTTTTTATTTTTTACTACAATAAGGAAAAATTACTGAACATTTTGAGAAACATTTTTTTTTAACATTATGTTAGGAAACAATTATTATTACCCAATTTTTTGGTAAAATATAAAAGACGAGATCACGTCGGGTAAATAGACTCCAAACATGTCAAGCCTTACATTGCGCGCACCCGCGAAATCGCAAAAAACTACCATACCCTAAATTGATCATAGGCGATGCTTTCAAAGCTTTAACCACTCATCAGTTTGGTATTATCAGTGGTTAATTGCCCTACAATTATTGCTCTCACTGCGACGTTCACGGCGATATGTAACATGTGCAGCATAATGGGCGCAATCGTCATTTTTGCATGTATGCGCACCCAACGCATGTTTGTACGCATGTATGTATGGGTAGGGACTTTTTTAATATTATTCTTTTTCATGTGTGCCTTGAATTTTTTTTTGCAACTTTTTTTTTTACACGTAACGTTATTGTTATTACATAGGGGGCTAAGAAATCCTCAATGTGATAGCAAAGAAATGTGACAGGTCCTCTTTATGAAGATGAATAAATGTCACCAGCACACCACCAGTATTGCAGTCCAAAGAGTTCATTTATTGGAATGTCATGTCACCAAAACTAGCGCTTTGGGGGCTACACAGGGTCCCCTTCATCAGGCTGAGCAATGACTTCAGCCTCGACCCTGCGTGGCCGGAAAGCGCTAGTTTTGGTGACATGACATTCCAATTAACAAACTCTTTGGACTGCAATACTGGTGGTGTGCTGGTGAAATCAGTTTCTGAAGCTGGAAAGTGACACAAGAATGCGGAAGTGATGTATTATACATCACGTCCGCATTCTGACCTCCGGAGAGGGGATCGGAGGGAGATTGTGTACCGATCTCCCTCTGATCCCGTCACAGAGCCACCATGCTGGTCCCGGGCTCGCACCGGGCACAGCGGAGCTCGGGACCAGTGGGAGGGGGGAAAAAAGAAGAAAGAAGAAAGAGTGGGAGGGGGGGCCACACCGATCGGCACCTTATACAAGCGATCCACCAGCTCTATAGCCGGCGGATCACTTGCATATAAACAGGCATCACTGCCTGTTTTTAAACAGGACGTCTTTTGATGGCCTGTTACATCCAGGAAGCACCCGGCTGGTCGTTTTTATATAAGGGCCAGCCGGGAGGCGGTTAACTTAAAGGAGAACTATGAGATGAGTGATTTCCACTCGCCTCATAGTTCTAGCCGACCTGTGACAATGAGACTGTCACAGGTCGGCTCAGTAGATCGGGAGGATCACATAACAAACATGATGGGGGGAATTTATATTTGCTTCAGATGTATGTTCCCAGTGTAATGTTTTACATAAATGAGGTTGAATAGACTCCAGGAAAGAAGACTCGCAACTCCAGGTAACTTTCAACTTAATTGTCCCTTCTTGAAGAAGTGGTCATGGGGACTTCTTAAGTTGCGATTGTTTTGTTAGGTGATGCTCCAGTGTCAGACAGTCGCAGAACAAGTGCAGATGGAAACAGTTGCAAACTTGGAAACATTTGAGAAATAGCGCAAGCTCTGCTCAAAATGGGCACAGATGTTAAAATGAGCGGCTAAACAGATGTGCACATTAAAAAAAGATCTAAGAGGCTAAAACTGTCACAATTGCTTTAACAAATTCCCCCACTATATAGTGGGGTTTTTCAAATTTGACTGCATAAGTAGTCATACACACTGAGGCCACAGTTCAGCTTTAAATACAATTAAAGCACTTTTTTTCATTATTGAATTGATGAAGCTCCTAGCAGGTCAACATACTTTTCTATGAGAATCACTTCACTCTTCTAACTCTGCACCTAAGCATGGGGCCAAGCAATCTATTCCAGAATGCAATAGAAATCTGTGGTGAGCAAAAGTTGACTTTATCTGCAAGACTAGAAATTGAGGCTCTGCTTCCTAGTGATTAAGCTGCAGTGTTTCCATTACCACACCAAGGCCTTATTTATAAATAAACACCAATAAATATTTATTATTTATCTCTGATTTTTCTTGTTTTATTTTCACGTTACAATGTGATTTGACAATATATACACCAGAACAAAACATAATAGTACATCCTTTACACAAATGGATAATTAATGTCTAAAAACAGAATTCCTCAGGCTTGCAGGCATACTGCATTGGGTAGTGAAAAAAACATAGACCTCTTATATTATAAGAAATACAAATTATTTATTATAATAAAACAAGACCACAGAGAAGAGAGTAATCATGAAGTACCTGCCTTACTGTACCTTTTCCTTTTAGGGCTCATTCACACGGGAATCGGCTGGCATGTACAGCTCCGTGCACGACCATATAGGGCAGCGTGTGATTAGTACGCAGCCCCTGTCTTTCTCTATGGGACTACGCGGCCATATGCCCCCCTAGACTCACCTCAAGTGCGCGTCTGTGCGTGTTAGCGTATGGGTGGATCCTGTCTGCGACCGAGCCAGGACACACGCACCAGTACGAACTTGCACTTGAGGTGAGCATAGGGGGGCGTATGGCCGCGTAGTCTCATAGAGAAGGTCAGGGGCTGCGTACTAATCACACGTAGCACCTGTCCTTCCCGGGAGCTGCCCGATACGGCCGTGCACAGAGCACAGAGCTGTACATGCTGTACATGCACACACATGATAAAATCTGAATTTTTGGCTAGAAAACTGCGTAAACCCCCCAAACAGTTGTATATTTTCTAAAAGGGAGGCCCTGTAGACTAAAAAAAAAAAAGCTAGTTGCAGTTTTTTAAGTCGCACAATATTTGCACAAATGTTCAAATTTATATTTTTAGGAAAAAATACACTAAAATGAATTTTAGTGCATAGAAAAAGAACATGATAGGATTTTTTTCACAACGTAAAAAAGATGGGGTTGTGTCGGGTACATATATACCAAACATTCCAACCCTTGTGAAATGGCAAATAACTACAGTACTACAATAACTGCTACACAATTGCCCATCGGTGACACTTTACTGCTCATCAGTTTAGAGTTAACGGTGTGTGTGTGTGATTGTGATAAAGTTATTGCTCTCACTCTGAGGTTCTCTATGTAACGTATGTAGCACAATTGTAGTTTTTGCATGTAGCAGAATTAAGGGAGGGTCAAAACATTGTGCACAAGGTAATGATCAAAGGATCGAAAGGTGGCCCACCATTTTTAGTGAAGTAACAGCTATGCTTTAAGGTTGGCCTACAGTAAACATTCATGATTCACATGGATCGTTAGAGCAAAGATTTGTGTTAGCAAAAAATAGTATAAAGTAAAAGCGTTTTTTATCATTTTTCTTGGAATTAATAAAACAAATATTTTTTAAGCTCCCGTATTTGCCTTGATCACATAAGTATTTACTCCCATATGGCTCAGGTCCATCTATAATGTGGTATTACATTACATTGGACCTGAAAAGAAAATAATACAAATGGCGTTCGTTATTTGCCTCTATTCACAAAAAACAAACATTCTCAGAGATTCAAAGAGCAAATGGCATTGTGAATTGTTTATAAATATGCCCCCCATAGTTTATGTGATAAGGAAATGTGGCTAATCTATGTACATACATAACTCCAAACTATACATAGAACTTTAGAAACTATAGAACTTTAGGACTATAGGAAGTTTTCATAAATAAATACGCCATGACTACACTATTTAGAAATAGTTTGATTAAAAAAACAGTCAAATGGCAACTGCTCCCCTTTAAGACCCGAATATTGTTCAGCTAGTCTTGTTGAAACATAAAAAGGGGTCGGTCTGACAGGCATGTTGAACAAATGTTCACAACCACCCTGAATACATGTATATTGTATATATTTTTCTTGCTTTGTACCAACATTTATTTTTTTCTGCTTTACTGTAGTGGAACTTGTCCCAGTGGCCAGTATTTGTCTCTAAGATGTTCAGGTAAGCAGTGTGTGATGAAGTCAATTATAGTTACATGATGTCTGTGTGATTTATTTTATTGTACAGTTTACTAGCAAATGAGTTTCTGTTCTGGGCAGAGGAGGCAATGCAATTTGCAATTTGAAAACTACCTACTGTAGTTTTGTAGAGAAATCCAAAATGCAAATACAGCGTGCTCAGACTTGTGGTTCCACAGGGAAGAGCAGAAGGCAAGTAGGGTGTTCAGGGACATGTAGCTCTAAAAGAACTTCCTGAATTTGTCCGAGAAAGGAGAGGTACAGGGAATCCTTGTCAATCATTCTTAATTCTCCCAAGATAAGCCAACGCTGGAAGTGTTTGCAGGAGTGTTCCTGACACCTAAGCTAGCCATAGAAGGCTCAAAAACCTATCAATTCCCCCATCCACACTATACAGCATAGATGGGGGAATCTCCACTGCCGGCTATTGTATTCGGCAGCCACAGCACCCGAGGCTGCCTGGATACCCGAACAGTAACTCCACCCAGTTGAGTTTTTTTAGCGACTTTTGTTGAGCTGGGTGGTGCTTGCAGGACCCCCATGGCTTGAATTTTGAACAATTAACCAGAAACTCAAGCTTTCTATGGCCAGCATTAGCTTAGGAATATCCCACATGCTTAGCCAAGTGCAGCATTTGCTTTCCCTTTGCCAGTTAGTAGGTACCTCCAGGTGTTTTCATGCAGTCTCAGACTGACTGTATAGCACACCAGCACCCCAGCACCCCAGAACTCTGTACTGCAGATAAATGGCTTCCTGGTGGCTACATCTGCCCTTTCACTTTCTCCTATATACAGCTTAGCATTGATCTTCCAATGGGAAGAGATGGGGCGAGTTCCATTGACTTGACCTCTATATAGAATGTTTTTTTGCCTGTAAAAGTAAATTGGACCTCACTTTATTATGTGTTTTGCCATCCTTTGGATGAACTAGGAGTTAAAGGAGAACTATGAGGTGTGTGCTTTTCACTCACCTCATAGTTCTGGCCGACCTGTAACAATGAGACTGTCACAGGTCGGCTCAGTAGATCGGGAAGTGAGCGAACACATAACGGCGTTCGCTCACTTCTCCATCCTGTCACGGCTCTCTGCCGTGACAGGGGAGTGGCTGGATTCCCCCCTCCCCACTCAGATCCTCCAGCGCTGACTGGCGGAACGGACGGGGGAGGGAGCGGGTACAGCTGGCTCTGCCTCTAGATAGGCAGAGCCAGCTGTCACTCACGCAGACATAATTGCGACGTCTCAGTGTAGTTGTATGCCTTTTTTTTTATTCATGTCTCCACGTAGTTGATCTTTAAAGTAAACATGTGCATTGGTTTGCTTTAAAGTGGAACTTAAGCCAAAACGTTGTTTTTTTACATTTTTAGATAGAGTAAGGGAGGGTTATAACCTCTGTTACCTTTTTTGCCATGTGTCCCATTGAGGAGATTTCCCTTCACTTTCTGTCCAAAATTCCACATCAGCATGGGAGAAGAAATCCAACCAAAGGGAGGTAGATCCCTGGTGGTCAGCAGAGTCACCAGACCTAGTGTCCTTATTGGAATATTTCCCATCTATTCCTGTTCTGATGACAACCCAACATTTGGGATTTTTTAAACTTTTATTCTTAGTGATAACAGTCACCAGGACAAATGGAGAGGGTGAATCTCCCCAATGGGGACCCAGCCAGCAATACAAGACAAATATGATAGGTGCTCTAATCCCTCTCCATTCCATCCAAAGTTTTTAAAAAACTGACTGCATTTAATTCCCCTTTCCTTATCAACATGGAACAATCTTTCCTCTGCAGCCCTGTTCCTCCAATCAGCCATTGAGAGCAAGGAAAGTAGCTCTGTGTATGCTCCTAGTCATTCTAGTTGCTAATAGTTGATCACCAAGCAACCGCACTGTCACATGAAAGAGGAGTGAAATAATCACATGCTCTCACATGTGCTGAACTCCCCGGTATTTTCTTTGCACCTGATTCATTAACAGAGCAGCAGGGAAGCAAAGGAAAGAGGAGTATGTGATGCTGAGGAGGGAAGTCTAATACACAGCCTAAAGGTGCCCACACACACTTACGATAATCGTACGATAATCGCGGGAAATCCCGTGATCGTACGATTATCGTAAGGTGTGTGGAAGCCGTGTGACCTCTACTACTGTAAGTAGATTAAAGTAGTCACTCGCACTCCATGATATTAAAGTCAATGCTGTTTATTGACTGAGATAACACACATCTCCTTCATGGGCTTTTGCCCAGTCAGGAGTGCGATGGGACAGGAGGATTAAGTCTCTACTACTGTAAGGTCGCACGACTTTTCTCTTACGAACATGTTCGAAAACCCACCGAGAATCATACGATGTTCGGCGGGTGTGTAGCATGTTCGTAAGATAAAAGCCGGACGGGCCGGTGTGTGCAAGCGCACACTGCCCGCTCGACATTGCGGTCATCGGAAATACGATCTGCCTGTCCAAGATGGGCAGATTGTACGTTTTTTAAATTACCTTACAACCATCGCAAGACAAAAGTCTTGCGATGGTTGTAAGGTGTGTGCCCAGCATAAGAAATGCACACACCACAAGCCACTATGCCATGGTTGTTTGACATTCAACTAATGTGTGTGAGTCTAGTGCCTTCAATACTAGTACTTATGCGTTCTAATATTTCCCTCATGGCACGTTTAAAATATAGAACTCATATATTTATTTTAACTGCCTGGGACCAGTATGTGTATTTGATGGTCTAACTAAGACAGTTAAATATGCAACTTGACCTCTGCAAATATTATATTTCACTGCAGATTTATAAAAGTCTATTAAGACCTCTTTTCTTTAGAAGAGAATTTTTGGATTTTAGATTCTTGGTTGCAGGTTTGTTCTACCACTCAGACAACAAACTGAAAATGAACCTTGACATTTCTGCAATTATGTTTCTTTAAGTCCCAGTAACTGTAACATTAAGTGCTTCACACTGGTCCTTCTAGACCTTGGTGCATGGCTATGGGTGTGACAAGAGTGAGGACAACCATGTAACTGTGTGTATTTTTCACACAAAGAGTTATAAGTGAGTAGAGCAGTGATGGTAGGCATTGAGTGCTGACAGAACATGTACTGTCTGTGATTACTAAATAATGATGACAACATTAGAGCAGCATTAAGAGCAACTGAAGTAGGCAGCTTATTCCACTATGGATATGATGATGGCAGTAATCAGCACTAGGTGGCAACTGCAAAAATGTTGACCACTGTGCTGCTAATGTCTGCTCGCTTTATCTCTAAATTTAGTCATACAATTTTGTTGCCAATTTTGCTGCTTGCCATTAGCTTTTAGCTGAGCAGCATGTCTACACAGTCTCCAAAGCAATCTCAAATATGTTTACAACCAAGAGTGTGCTGGTCAATGAGACAGCAATTGCATTAGGTATATCAAAAAAAAAAAAAACAGAAAGGAAAAACTCCGCAATAAAGTCAAAAACATATCGCTTTTACTAAAATACATTTCATACAAACATAACCAAAGAGACAGACAATTTAAAACATTTTTTAAAAACATGAATTATTTCCTATAGTAAACAGATAGCAGCCTCCCTGATTGGAAAAAATACTCCCCTTTCCAAAAGTTTTAATCATTTCCCACTTTCAATTGATCAACCAATCAAAATTGCTGTAGAAATCAATTAAACACTTCAGCTAAATTTTTGGCTGTTTGGAAGGTCAGAACTGGCAAACAGATAAACCTGTTGCTAGAACATTTAAGTAGTTTAAAACAGGTGGAAAACTCCAAAACAACAATTTTGTCAAGTGTATAAAGTGGCCAGCATCATTCTAAAAACGTTGGTCCCATGGTTGATCTATATTTTTGTTAATTGTTTCTTTTTTCTTCCAGATTGTGGGAATCAGAAGTCTAGTAGTAGAATTATTGGGGGCACAACGTCCACTCTCGGAGAATGGCCCTGGCAAATCAGTTTACAAGTTCTTAATGGAAAAGCATACGCCCATATTTGTGGAGGAACTATTATCAACAGGAACTGGATTGTGACAGCATCCCACTGTTTCAGCACGTGAGTATAAGTAGTGAGTGCAGTATTCATGTGTCCAAAAGGGATTTACAAAGCTCTATGGTTAAATTTAAGGGACCATTTTGGAGCATCTATTGTTGTTTTTGTTCTATCCATCTCCATAATAATTAGAACTTTCCTAAAAAAAGCAAAGACTGCCAGAGCTGACTTATCATTATCCAAACGCTAGTTAACTGGATGTCATGTTAACCTTTTTGTTTACAGCAAAACATAAGCAAGTTACGATTTTGCAAGCATGCATACTTGCAAATCTGTGTTATCTTTTTCACTATTCATATTTTATATTAATCGTATCAAACCTTACCTAGTCTGTTAATTAGAATTACGAAGAGGTGATGAAGAGGCTCTACCATTTGTAGAAAGTGATGTAATCATTCCCTTACATAATTCCCTGTAGGAACTTTTTTGCCAGGAACCAGGATTGTAATAGGGGAGTTCTATCTCTACCCTAATCCTCCCTCACGCCTACTCTTTTATCAGCCACTTGTGACTTATTTTACGAAATGTAGCTGTCAATCAAATGAGAAGGGAGAACACAGGGCAGGACTGAGAGGGTCCACATTGTTCTGTGCAGTGATATGCTCTGCCTCTTATGCAAATATAGAAGCATTATTATATAATGGGGAGAGGGGGGGGGGTGG